AAAGAATAGAAAGGATTCCTAAATCTAATGTCACCTTTTTACTTTAAAAAAATTTGAAAGGAACGGAAAATTTTGCTCCGATTAATAAAAAAAGTTCAATAAAAAGAACGTAATGGGTCAATAGTAAAAAGCCTTGCTAAAATTTAATAATATAAAGATTCACTCGGAAAATTGGAATTTCACATTTACACAAGTGGAAGAGTTCTATTTTGTGAATGTGAAGATTCCTGGGAAAAAAGTTAGAAATGTTTACTGCAACTAATGGAGAAAATGGTCAAGTTCTTTCAAACTAAATTTACAATGTTCGTTCGAAATGTTGTAAGCCCCATCCTATTATTATTGCCTTGTTTTGGGGTGAAATAATAATAATAAAAAAAAAAAAATGAAACTGACAATTAAACCTTCTTATTATTCCAGACATTCTTTCACTAGTATTTATTTATTTGACCACAGTAACAAATTTTACTACGATTTATAGGCATTACTACATTACATAGCAACCTTCCCTGATATATACAAACAAGTTTTATTCAACTGAATATGATCTAGTTGTTTCATTTCTTTATTTTATTTTTAAAAAATGTTAAAATAAGATGTTGAACTATCCAAAATAAAACATTAATCAATAATAACTCCTCCAACCATTTCGGCGAAGAACAAATAAAATTAGCTTTAATAGAACTTAGAAAAAATAGCACAAGCTGATATAAGCAAAAATAAATTCTAATTCTACTGCTACTAGATGAACCATAACTGTAAACAGAATTAACAGAAAAACATTAAAAATATATTTCGCCTTATGGAAAATTGAATCTCCAAAGTCAACTACCATTAAATTTTTACATTACCACATGGTCATTCATGTATCACTCTCACGTAGGTTGACTTTTCACATGTCGAAACGTTTCACATATCGGTCATCTCATCAAAGACAACCAAAATACAACTAACAACTTAAGAAAAATAATAATAGATCATGCCATAATGCAAGGAAAAACTCAAAATCCTAATTTCTGTTAGGAAAAATAAACTTGGACCATATTTCCTCCCAAAGAAACTTTGTAGATTTTCTGACGGAATTTGCACCTTCATCTGAAAAGAATAATTCGGAATTTAGAAAACTCGATCAATAAAATTAATCGACACAAAACGTCTGTTGTCTTTAATAACATTTGTCTTAAAGAACGTTAGCTACCTAAATACACACAAACACACACACTCGCGCACACACACACATATATATATATATATACATATAGTAAAGATAATAAATTCGTTGGTATATAATCCAAGTGGATCCTAGTAATATAAAATATTAAAACTGATCGACAAAAAGAGCCCAATATATTTATTATTACAGAGCAAAATTAATAGACAATAAAATCCCAAATCACCTCATATGGAGAATAAGATATTTCGAAAGACGAAAATATTCGTCAATCTTATTCAACTCCGGTATAGACTGAGTTCGTGTTGGAAATAGAAATTCAATATATATATATATATATATATATATATATATATATATATATATGACCTAACGATTGCGTCTAGCATGAAACAGACTGGCGCTTCTGAGTGTTGACGTCAATGTTCACTTATATATATTATTTTATATGCGCAACATATTCAGTTTGTCTGATGATTGCAAAAGCCTGAAACCCAAGGTCATAAACTTATATACATACAATTATATATATATATATATATATATATATATATATATATATATATATATATATATATATATATATATATATATTGATAATATTAGTGGTCTGTATATATATATATATATATATATATATAAATATAAATATATATATATATATATATATACACACACACACATATATATATATATATATATATATATATATATATATATATATATATATATATACATTCCCAAGATGATCGAATCCAGGTTGAACTCAATGCCCAGGATAGAGTAAGAATATATACACTCTCACTAAAATTTTGTTTTTTATACCCGGAGTTATATTTTCCGATTTCTTTTTGAATGTGGAGGTCTGATGAATTGGATCGTGATTACGATTCCAATGTAATAAATTATAACCATGGAATATTAGTGTTTGAGCCTTTTATAAATATATATATATATATATATATATATATATATATATATATATATATATATATATATACATATGTGTGTGTGTGTTATTGAGTTAGTACAAAAAACATTGAAAAATATCACAAACGTTCACCCAGTAACAGCTGAGGCAATAACTTTTAAATTGAAATGATTTAGGCAAAGTTTCTCGGATTGCAATCTTAACGCCCATTAAGTGATACAGGCCTCGGCTGAAAAATGATATCTCGTTGACATTTTTGCGACGTCATTCTGGAGGTATCAGATCAATACTTGCAAAATCAAAAATCGTATCAAGATACGGCTACATTGTATTCTGAGAGATCCCTACGAGTGACAAATATTTGAAAGTTTCTTTTTCAAACATTTTAAAAATTCCTTATGTGAACATTATGAAAATGATATTTTCTTTGTCACTTATCCTCTATCGAGAGTTAAGCGTTTTCATACAAATGTGGAAATAGCTCTGTAGACAGTGCAGGAACAGAAGCTAAGGAAAACAAAATTATATCAGAAGGTGAGGAATTTTTAAGACCGGCCAATGTAGAAAACTTAAGGGCAGCTTTCATATTTAAAAAAAATTATCGCGCTATTTAATCTTGCTCTACTCTATGATATCATATCGAATATGAGTTTTTCCCGCTTAAAATGATTTAAAAATTAATTATTGACGAGGAAAAATGGCGGGATGTTTTTTCAATGTCATAATCTAGAGACATAAAACAGAAATAAACTAAACATTTCTGCATTAATTTCGGCAGCTTCAGATCTATCTATCTATCTATATATATATATATATATATATATATATATATATATATATATCGATCCAACCATCTTTCTCGGTTATTTCCAAATCCATCTATCTATCTATCTATCTATCTATCTATCTATCTATCTATCTTATATACATGATTGTTTTCCATTTTATTATGCAAATCAATATGTACACAATATAATATGATACACAGTATAATTCGATGTTTGTAAATTTTTCAGCATAAATTATATTTTATGAACCGTATATCGTTTAAATTTAATCTTATAATATCTATCTTCATAAACAGATATTGATTAAGGAGTACTTGGAAAGTTAGAATAACTATCTTGATTGTCCCGACTGTCCAATACCCTTATTAGGCATTAGTATATCGCTAATAAACTAATATATAAAAAACAACAGAATGAAGGAGCAGAATAGCTGAAAGAAATGAATGCCAATCATGAATTGTGCCCGGAAAGCGCTTATATACCATTATGCGATACAATAAATTATGTACGAGAAAATATAACACATAGAAATAAAAACAAGCAGCGTAAAAGTGGGGGGGAAGTCTTACTTGTAATATTTCCCCGATGAAAGCACCCAGGCTGGGTAATGTCTTTTATGTTCTTTGTTTGGACATCAGAGTTTTTATTCTTTCTATTTATCGCCGTGGGGAATCACATCTAGCTTCTACATGCTCTACCAGCAAATAATTTTTATGACAATTTTATTATTTTTAGTAATAAAGGTACCTTGACATTCTATAAACTACGCTAAACCACTCATTGTAGTTCTAAAGTCATCAGTAAAAATTACTATTGTGAATCAGTTACCATGTGTTTAAAAAATAAATATGATTTCAAAATATGAAATATTATTGTGAATTAATTGTAATTGGATGCATGAGTCCCAGTATAAATAGTTATTAATAATTACTGACCGATTCTATCATTCTGATATTTTAAAATTATATTACGCATTAAGAATATAGTAACCAGGATCCGCAAGTTGGAGGAGAGAGTTATCAATGATGATGTTCTGACTTTGAATTTGCGGTTATCTCCCTTTAACCCACTTTTTTAATATTGAATATACTTTTTATCATATATAATTTGGTGAGAGGCGAGAAAGTTTTCATTCTGAAAATTAAGCCCAGAGAAAAAAAAAAGTTGGGAACCCCTGATTTAAGCCAAAGAACTTTTAAAGGGTCTTCGTAATTTTGATCATATCATTATGTATATGTTTGCTCTAAAAACTCCACCTGAGACTTTTTTCATTGCATCGTTAAATTCTTTTTATTGGTAAGTGTAATTTCTTGGTCTGCCATATTTGTTATCATTGGTTCCGTTTGCGAAGACTAACTTATATTCTTTTGTTAGAGTTTACGTGTAATACTGAAATGAAAGTCCAATAATTTCTCTGCAATATTTTTTTTTAATATCGTGGCAGAAATAGCCAAAGCATTTGCGTCTGTCATGAAATGTCAGCACATAGAATTTGGCTCACTTTACTCTTTCGATTGCATGTATGATGACAGTTGGACAACGAAGGATTTTTGTAATACGCTAGGAAATTTAGGCGCGGTGAAATGTCACTGACGCTTCGCATAGATATTTCCTTTGGCATATTTTAGAGAAGACGCTCCATGGCAGCAACGATTCTTAAAATATGTGACGTGGTGCGTGTGCATGATCATTGATAACGGCAAATTCACAGCTCGTTGAAGATCCATATATATAAATTATATACATAGCCGTTTCATATATATATATATATATATATATATATATATATATATATATATATATATAGATAGATAGATAGATAGATAGATAGATAAGGGGAATTGAAACAAAGATACATAAATATATAGATAAAGTCAAATTGAAATAGAGATGGATTAATACAGTATCATTCTGATAGAGGAAAACAGATAGACAAATAGATAGGTAAAGTATAATTTAAATAGTTAGATATGAACAGGCTAAAATAGGCACACACACACATATATATATATATATATATCTCTCTCTATATATATATATATAGATAGATAGATAGATAGATATGAACAGACTAAAATAGATAGATATGAAAATGAATGATATACACACATACGCATATATATATATATATATATATATATAGATAGATAGATAGATAGATAGATAGATAGATAAAAATTAAATCGAGTGAGATAGATAGATAGATAGATAGATAGATAGATAGATAGATAGATAGATAGATAGATCGAAACAGCCTGAGATATATAGAATGATAGAAAGAAAGAAAGAAGGTACACAAGAAACAGTAATAGATATATAGATGGATAGATAGATAGATAGATAGATAGATAGATAGATAATGAACAGAGATAGAGAGATAGATAGATAGATATGAACATAGATAGATAGATAGATAGATAGATAGATAGATAGATAGAGTTAATATTTACGATTAGATAAATAACAGGAGAACTAATGGAAGCAAGTACGCACAGAAAAAATAATAATAAAAACATACATCCGTGTTAGAAGCGATAATAAAATTTGAATATTTAAATATTTATAGCGTGTATAATGTATAAATTCGACCAATTGAAACATGTCCTAATGAATTATTAATTTCCAACTTTAGATTTTCAAAATGAAATAAAACACCGAGTATTGGAAGTGGTTGTACCAACAGAAACCATTTAATAATAATAATAATAATAATATGCTAATGGTAATATTAGCCGTTCTTTTATAAGGCAACTTTGGGCACAGAGTGACCGAACAACCAGTGCTGCTTTCGTTTGTAATTCATGAAATCTTTGTATTAAAAATTCCAGTGGCTGTTATCGTTCTTTTCGGTATTGATGGGAGTTTCCTTCCTAACCTTTTGTTTGAAGTAGTGTGGAACATCAACATCTTGATTATGTCATTATTCTCTCTTCGGGTCCGATATGCGATTTTAGCTGTTGCTGTCATTGAAAGGCGGGAAATGATGTTGCCTCTATTATAGCTCCTCCGCGCGAGTCCACGAATTACGAAGAAGGACGGTCATCGCTGAGCCATATTTACTCATCGATTTGAAAAATTTGTTTCCTTCAGCTGACCGTTTAGATATTCCTGAAGGTGTTTGGTGTCATGCATGTCATCCATATGAAAATCTCGAACTGACGAGGCTATTTAAGAAGACAAAAGTTTTTAGGTTTAGGTTTTAGTTTTGTCGTAACATTCTGTTGGCCGAATCCATTCCTGGCATAACGTTAAATTCCATTTTTTCCTATACTAAATTCCTTATACAACATTGTACAAATTAATTGAAACAAAACGAATAATTCCATTATTATTTACTCCTTTATCATTTTTTTCCAATGAAACATGACCCAATGCACGTGTTAGTTCTTCCTATGATCATTCCACTTAATCGTTCCTTGCAGATTGACCACAGATTTTCAACTGGATTTAAATCAGGAGAGTTTCCGGGCCAGTCTATAGTACTTTCATTTGCTGGCTGGTAAAGTCTTACCAGTGTGTTCGTGCAGCGTTAGAATTTTCGTACGCTTCCTTGGTGTAACGTCAATCGCAGACAATGGCCATAGGACAAGTAATGGACAGTCGAGACAATAGTGTTTGTGTGTGATAAAAATCAGATGCAATCACGGATGACGCAATATTTTTCAAGGCCAAACAAATTTCATCATACACCCCGAAAAATATTTTCACATTACTGCACACCGCTGCAAATGAGCTAGTCTGAGAAAAAATAGAAATCTTTTACATCCTGTCACTCCAGTTGTTCTAAAACCGATCGTATGTTCACAGAAAGGAAACTAAAGCGGCTGTTTCAATTAATTTGCCGAAGGGTGTCACTGATCCATATATTTGACAGGTAACAGGTATTTGAAGTATTTACGAGTTACTAATTCCACTTCCTAAATTTTCATGATGGGTGCCATCACTTATTTCTTTCCAATTCCATATCAACGTTTCTGTTTTTGAAAGCTTTATCTTGAGTGCTATTTCTTGGAACACTCAGTAGAAGATGTTGATTTTTGCTCAGTATCATACATATCCCAAATATGAATAACTATATAGTCGACATAGCCCCTCTCTTTATCATTTGTAGATTGTCCTCTCAAGCGGAAGATTAGTAGATTAATTTGCGATGTGGTACTTAAAGATTAACTCTTCACATCTGTGCTTGTATATGTGCAGTGCATAGTCATGGAAGAAATTAAATAAATTGGGCCTCCTTTTCCTCCTTGTATTTTTGATGAGGTCTGGAATGTTTCACTATTGGGGTCCTCGCCCGACATGTACGACTTTGTGGACTGAAATAGTTCTATTTGTTACGGTTTTTTGGGTATATAACACTTATAACTAGTGAGCGAGTCAGAATGACTTATTTCCCTTTATAGTCGACCAATGGAAGGTTGACCAATCAGAAGCCGCCCAACACTGTATTCATCGTGTATAAAGGCGGCCATCTTGTTTCCTCCTACCGGAAGGACCAAAGGCGACCAGGAGAAGGATGAACTACACTCTGCTGTGATATCCACTGCGAACCTCCACTACGCTTTCCTACTGTCTCCGAAATATTCACTGCCAACCTCTGGATTCTATACTCGAGGACGACCGTCATGAAAATGTCTAACACTATTAAATCTAGGCAATCAGTAGATTCGGAAAGCTGTTTCTAATGGATCAGAATAAGATGTCTTTATTGGTGTAATCGTATGGTCCTATGAGGTCTAAATATTAAGATGCACATTCCTATTATTTTTATTTTTTTATCCCGCGACACCATGTGGCACCATGTCTACTGCAACCACAGTACACGTAGGGGCACAATGTGTAATGTAGCCGCAGTAGAAGTAGTGTTTCTTGGGCAAGATAGCCTGGCAGAGCCAAACCCTCTCCAGGCCATTGTTTTCTTTCTCCTAGACCGGTTGCCACCCGAGGTTATAGAACCAAGTCTATTGGGATGGAGGGAGAAGAAGAGGATCCATACCTTTCCCAAGGGTATTAGCACGTAAGTGAATGCAATGCATACGACTGGAATTCGAAATCGGCTCTCTGATTCCTCAATCCTAGCTGCTATTTATTACTCCACCGTGCCTCTTTTATTAGTGGGATGATATATTGGGTGGTGAGAAAGCGATTATCATAAAGCGATGAGAGTCTAGTTACAAGAATGTACACTAATAATTTCACTTTAAAGTAACAGGAGACTAGATACCGGGTCACGTTCGATTGTATTGCAGACGCTTCTCTGGATTTAGACAAGAATCCAGAGGCGCACAGTAGGAGCAACAGATCAGATATGACAACGGTATTCCATATAAAGACGAATGATAGATTTATAAATGTGCAAGATGGATTCTAACAAGAAAAATCTTTTGGCACGCCACAGTGAACCAAGCTTCCTTGCAAACAATTGTAAATAAAGCAGAGGAGGAGGAGGAGAACAGATACTACACCTCTTTCCTAACTCAAAGGACAGATAATGATTATCTGATCCGCATTCGATAGTAGGATATAATACAAAGTCGGTTTAATATGGGCTGCTCATACCAAGAATCAAATTTGGCCAATTACCGCAACCATTAACACACTGGCGTTGTCATATACCAACACTCCTTTTCGGTCGCAATGAGTCAGCGATACTGTCGGGCTGAAATACTTGAGACTCGACATCTCACATAGCTTTAAGAGGAAGAGAAAACAGTTTCTACACTTTGATCTTAGATTGAAAGCGCGCACGGGGGTCGCGAAAATTGCCTTTTTAGAAAATAAGCAAATAGATTGAAAAAATGTCATTAGAAACAACGAAAGTGTGCTGGACTGCTATATAATATTTTATCTCCTATATCAGGAGTCGGCACCCTGATACACACGTGGCACGCCAAGCAGTTTTCAACGGCATGCAACTACAAATGATATCACGAAGTTTAAACCAATAACTACTACAACGCAAAGATATTTAGCTGTTTCAAAACTGCTCACTCGATGGACTCCCATTAATAATAAAAACTTTAAAAAAAAACTTTTAAAAACATTTTATTTTTATTAATGTGGTTTACATATTATTTTATATATTACTATATGAAATATATTTTAGAACAGGTATATTAACCTTGACTTGTAGAAGAATACGTATGCTATTCGTACACTGAATGATTTTAAAGCCCTAAAATCGGCTCATAGTCAGCAAAAGATTGCCGACTCCTGTCCTATATGACCGTGGATGCTGTACAAGATGTTCATGGATGAAGAAGAGACAAAGCAAGATATGCGATTCTACTGACGAATACAAAGACTATCAGGGACTGAATATGTGAGCAACGAAAAAGTTTTTAAAATAAGAACAAGGAAGAAACTAATACCTATAATTAGAAAGTGGCAGTTGGAATTTCCGAGACACACAGTGAAGAAAGAAGACCTAGAGAATTAAACACTCACAGGAAATCCTAAATGCAATAGAAGGCTAAAGAAACAACAATGACAAAATTAGATGGTAAATGGTCAAAAGAACCACAAAAACAATAAATTGTGATGAGTTGTGATTTCCATTGTCCTTGGATCTATGGGAGCTTAAATGTGAGTTTGTAAGAATTTACTTGGTAAGTATCGAATTCTCGTTTGGAAAGGCGTCTTGCCTTTCTAAGGGGGATGAAGAGAGTGCATTCTACAATCTGCAAATAGAACAGAAAGGACAAAGAACTAGAGAAATGGTAAAAAAATAACTACGTAGAGAAATAAGAAGCAGAATTTGTGAACAGTCATGAGATAGTTTGGTTTGGTTTGGTTTATTTTTTTTTACGTCATATCAACCTCAATGTTTTTTTTAATACCGACAAAATTTACAGGTTACATTCTTTGTAAGAAGTCAGTTTGTAGATCAGGTTTCATTGACGTAATTTTGTAAAGAAGTTTTTTTGTTGAGAGTCAATCTCCTTTTTATACATTCATCGTCTTTTAACTCAAGTTTAGAGTTTAACTATTTGCCTATAGCTAGGACCCTAACAAGTGCTACTACCCCGGACTAGGCTGAACCTGGGAATAACCGCAATTAAGAGGTGCTTCCAGGCTCCTCGAAACCTCCTGGTCTTGCTGCCAGATGTCACCCTGTCATAAACACGACGGCCATGATAATCTACGCCCTGAAAGGACATATATAAAAGAAATCTTGTGTAAAATAAATGTCGTCGTCTTCTAGGAGAAATACGGACATATACGTATTTCTAAGGAAGCTCGGTACGTTATTTTTTTTTTTTTACGCATTTAGTCAGTCGTTTCTTTGCTGTCCTCTGTGTTATAAAAATGCGAATGTTCGGGACATTTTCTTTCAAGCATTTCACAAATAGATTCCCGCGTTGCTAATATTTTCAGCTTACATTTTTTTGTCATAATGAAATTATCAATGTATTTTTATTATCGATTTTCACTAAATTATCTTGGGCGCCAAGGTGTTCGAGTGGAGGCGACCAACCTTTAATGACAGGAGTGCCGCGAGTAAGTATTTTTACATTCACTTAGACCATTTTCACAGGGCCGGGGGCAGGCCCACTCATACCACCTTGGCGACGAGCCTGGATTACGTTTCATCTTATTAGTGGTTTTTTTTTTGCTTTGTTACAATGCGCAGTTGCCATTTTCTATTGCTAACATGTAACCTACCTAAATTAGAAATACAAAACTAACCGTCGATAAGATTTGAAACCATATCTACAGGGTGATTGAAAAGTAACTCCCTATTTTATGTATGTTGGACTCACCCGTCTAACTATAATTTTTAGAAAACGGGAGAGTCCATTATACATAAAATATGAAGTTACTTTTCAATCACCCTGTATATTAATAGAAATCTCTTCTATATTGACGATAATTAACTAAGTTTTTCATAGAGACAAACCAGTTCAGTCTAGTTAATTTTTTTCTTGAAGCTGAATCTTTTTAAAGATATTTTTATTTAAAACTGAATAGTAGTAGATATACTAGTTTTAAAATGTCTACATTTCTTTTGTAATGTATTTCATATATTCCCTTTTGGCTAATCTGTCTTCTAGCTTATATATATTTTTTTAAAACATTCATTTCGTTTTATTATTCTACGGTTTCTAAGTAGGCAACATGGTTGGAAGTAATCGTGTATCATCCAATGACCTTCGAAACACATGGAATCTTATGAATTTGGCCACAGAAATTAACCAAAAATGCAAAGTACTACATTGTCATATAGTTATTGTTATGAATAGTCAACAGTGGTCTCTGTTTACTGGGACTATAAAAGGTCACTATACGCGAACCTTGTATTCTCAGATGAATATAGCTTTCTTAAATCCTACACCTGTGTACTTTTGTCATCACAGTTATATCCTTTGTCATCTGTTTCAACATGACATATTGTTGGTTTACTATCAACTATTACTAGTAGTAGTGGTAGTAATAGTAAATTGAATAGTCTTTCTTCATCTTCTTAGATGGCTTACGGTCACATCAAATTGAAACGCCGGTTTACTTACGATCACCGAAGTTAAGCAATGTTGAGCTTGGTAAGTACCTAGATGAGTGACCGGTTGGGAATACCAGGTGTTATAAGGTTAAATGATTCGGAATTATTAATCAGAGAGCCACGTTCCAATTCCATTTGGGTTCGTTATACTCACTTTTGCGTAAATAATCTTGGGAAAGGCATGAATCCAACTCTTCTCCCTTCCCAACTATTTATTAATTAGTAAGTGTTGTATCACTAATTCAGTGCAATATCAAAAACATTTTCTTACAATCTAAAAGTACGTTCTGGCTTTAAATAACATGATAAGCCATAGAAAACTAATAATTTAATTTTTTAGGAGACGAATTCTCAGTAATAATTTGAGATCAGTTTAAATTCATTTATACTCACACACAAAAATATATATATATATATATATATATATATATATATATATATATATATATATATATATATAAATATACTCGTCTCGAAAACCTTCGAATTTTTGATTTGCCAATAATCAAATCAATCTCGAAGGAAAAAAAGGTTTTAAAAAAAGAAAGAGTTAGAAACATGAAAGTCTGTCGAAAAAAATCGCACAGATACAGGTTTAAAGCCCAAAGAAAAACCCCGACACGAGTAAAGAACTAACTAAAAAGAGCTCAATACAACCGTAGAGCAGACCTAGTCAAATCTCTCTCTCTCTCTCTCTCTCTCTCTATATATATATATATATATATATATATATATATATATATGTATGTATGTATGTATGTATGTATGTATGCACAGGGTGTATCAAAAATACTTTTATAACTTTGCGGGAGTGCTCCTCAGCAAAACGACGACAAAAGTCCATATAAATATATATCCGCAAATCCTTCGTTTTTGAGTTAAGTTTAAAGTTTGCGGTAGACGTTGTTAAAGGTACAATCCAAGATACTTTTACAAAATTTGGGAGCGGGTTCCTGACACCAAAACAAGGTAAAATGTCTAAATAAATAGATGTCCAAAAGACCATCGTTGTACCTCAACGCAGCAACTCATGACAAATGTTCAAAATGTCCTCCGCTGACTTCTACACACTCATCCACCCGTCGGATCATTGACTGGTGGATCCTTTCAGATACTTCCACACGGTGTCAAATGGTTTCACAGACCTCCATGACATGTTGATGAAGCGTCTCTGCATTATTAATGTCTGTTGCATAAGCCAAATGTTTTTGGTGATCCCACAGATACAAAATCCAAAGGATTGAGGTAGGGGGCGCGCAGGCCATGGAACCTGTACTACCATATTAGCCATCACGATGACAGTGACTAAAATGTACTGGATCCTCATTATGCATGAACCACATGCGGCTTCATATTAGCAGGTGTACATCCTCTAGCAGATCTAGAAGTCTGTTCGAAATAAAGTCCTTGTAGACAGCTCCTGTAAGACGTGCTTGGAGAACATATGGGCCTACTAGACAGTCACGTACAATTCCAGCTGAAACAGTAAACGTAAACTGATGCTGGTGTCTAGACAGTATTTTGCCATGGGGATTATGGTTCCGCATACAAATGTTTGTGTAAATTTGTTATGCTATCTCTTCCAAATGTCTCATCCGTAAACAAGACAGAAGCGACAAGCAACGGATCAACATTTTGTGCAATAAACCATCGGAAAAAGTTCTCCCTTGGTCAGTGATCAGAGGGGGAAAGACCCTGCACACGTGGAAAATGATACAGATACAGGAGCTGTTCTTGAAGTACCCTCCATGCGATACTAGAGATGTACGACATGCTAAGGTCACTTGATGTAAGCTGATATCTGGTCATCTCAGAATGTGTTCTTCGTGGTCAGGTGTACGAACGGATCTCTGTCTTCCTCGATCCATAGTTTGTGTTACCACGGATCCTGTCTCACCAACGCGTCGATAAACAGCAGCAAAGGTTGCATGGTCGAGAAAAGCAATTTAAAACAGCTGTCCAGACTCGCATACATTGCCATTCGCGCGCCCGTGTGTAAAAATCATATATTCCTGCTCACGATATGAATATCCTTCTATTGTTAAACGGAAGTTTTTTCAGTTAACTCTCTACTACACACGTTAAACCTTGAAGTCAGATTATTCCCATGGATGACAGATGTAACATAATCTATGTGTAAACACACCGCCATCCACCGTAAACTTACTTTAAACTTCACTCAAATAAAGGACATACGTTTATATGGACTTTATTCGGGATTTTTCTTGTCTAAGGTCGACTGGCAAGGTGTGTGTCGGTCGTACCAGCATCTTTTTCTGTAGTATATATATTCTCCCATCGTCTTCCAAGTAAGTAGGTCAAGTAACTCAGTTCGTTGAACCGAACAGCCATGCTCCTCACACACATGATTTGATTATGGTGGTCAAGACTAGTAGAGAACCAAACACTAGTTCTCAAGAATCGAATGCGGAGAAATAGTGCACAGTATGCGACAAAGTCTCTGAATGACTCTCCTTCTGTTTTGAATTCAGAGTGGGAGTCGGAGATAAATGAATCTCTTTTGAGCGTGGAACGAACTCTTAATTGCTGCTGTTCCCAGGTCCACCATGACCCGGGTTGGTAACACCTGTTAGTGCAAATAGTTAACCTCAAACTGGGGTCAAAAGACTATAAAATTGTAAAAATAGGTTTTAATACCAGCAATACATTTTTTTGGAAAAAATTAACAGTAATATATTTTTGAAAAAAAATATTATCAGCAATACATTATTACCAGTAATTTTGGAAAAAAAGAAAATATTACCAGCAATAAAAATAATGTCGGCATTGAATAACCCATTGAGGTTGATATGCCGTAAAACAAAACGAACCAAACCAATATATACTGAGATAGATAGATAGATAGACAGATAGATAGATAGATAGATAGATAGATAGATAGATAAAAAACAATACCAGCAATAAAAATCTTGTCGGCATTGAATAACCCATAGAGGTTGATATACCGTAAAACAAACCAAACCAAACGAATCAAAACCCTTATTTAATCTTTCCAATTTTTTAAAAAGAGAAACAAGGTTATTATCCACTTAGACAAACTACGAGTAATAGATAAGCTAGTAGTAATTTCAATCTTATCTCTTTTCATATTTGTAGCAAAACTGAAACATCTTTAAAAAAACATAAAGATAGTAAAAATGGTTTCAGAAATTGGGTAATAAACGTTGTTTTTCTTTAGTAGCAATGGTTACAGAAGTCCTCATCTGCTTGCTGCCATATTTCTTGGTCGTTTAAAAAATGCCCCTTGATTGTTTATGAAAACATATTTTCGTATGGTAATCGGAAACGGGTGTTTTCGGTGTTGAAAAACATATCACTGTCAAATATCCCAAAACCAAATCTTCACTTCAATCCAATAAAAGAAAAAAAAAACAAAAAAACAAAAAAGAAAACCTCCAGATCATTTGTTGATACATTAAAGCATTTTATAATTTAGTCATCTCATCCTGTTATTTGGAACCGATAGTTTAATATTTGTCGATGCATTGGTTGAGAGAGAAGAGCCTATCAGGAGCCAGGATAATACAACACCTCATATTTACTTCATTCCCCGGCAAAAAAGGTTGCAAAAATCCTTCTTCCCCTCCTCTATTTAGCAGACCAATCGATTGCCTCTTCTGGTGCATAGACAAAACAGCAGATATACACAGATTTGATCGAAAAGGCTTTCCGACATATTGCCGATACCCGTGACTATTTTTTATCTTGGCGTAATAAATTCGCCGCTGCGTTGTTTCCGTTCAATTCGTTCTTAAGTTGACTAATACAGTTCTGTTTGAACCGAGTTGGGATATTTAAAGGATTCTGATTCAAATTGATAGTTTCTTCTGTTCCAGTTTAACGCTATGTTTAATTGTCAATATGTGTAACTCTCAAGAATTATAATTGTCGTTAACAGATTTTCATGAATGAAACGCTGTAATCTTTCTGCTGACAGGTTTTTTTACGAATTAGTCATACGAATAAGAACTTATGGTATCAATTTGCTATTATATCACAAAAGCTATTTAGGAAACTTGCTTGTGTAATTTATCTATCTATCTATCTATCTAAAACAGAGTATGTGTATGAATGTGTCTGTCTGTTTGATAGTTTTTCTCTCGAGATCCTTCCAATCGATCCAATCGATTTTGACCAGACTACTGTACTGACTGTACTGAGGCGGCATTCACCCTGGGCGGATTGAGCCGGCTTCTTCCTGTTATGAGAAGAAGATTCTTGGGATAAATTACAGAAGTAGGGTACCCAGGCCTACTCAGATTTTGACCAGACATGGCACATATATTGTACATTGTAAGAGATAGGCTCTTAGCGCAAAAAATCGATAATTTTGAAAAACATAATCGATAAAACCGATCAAATATCGATAATTTCACCCTTTTTTCTTCCGATTTCGTCCAAAATCGGTATATTGGTTACTTCTATCATGACGAACTCAACGATACCTCATTTTTATTTCTACGCCACTGCGTTTAGCCTAAAACCGCGAAAATGGAAAAATCGGTTTCAACACAAATTTTAAACTAAAAACTGCATCAGTTTTCAAGCAATCTAATACAAACTTCACTCAGTTGTAGCTAACAATAAGTTAAATCATTTAACTTGTTAAATGAGTCCATCCATATATTAAAAACCCGTGTAAATAGCGAAAAATGGCGATTTTTATTGGTTTCTTTCTTATTTTCCGTTGATCTTTCAACAAAATTTTCATCAAACTTAACAATTGCTTTATATATTTATCCTCTTTTACATCCCTCGTAGTACACTGACATATTTCAAACATCCAAAATAATTATGATCTGAAGTGGGTCTTCATGTTGCCTGTGTTACCCTTTCATGTCCTCAGTTAACTTCAATTGAATAAATACAGACTACTTCTGTTATATCGTTAACTGCATTAATTCAAAATGTTTTTTAATGAAAGTAGTTTAAAGTAATTGAAGAAGATAGACTGTTACATCTAAACATGATGCTGTTTTTGCTCCATTCTAATTGAACGCTTTTTCTAATCGACCAGCTGGGTAGCAAATTAAAACATTCTAGTCCGGATCCGGATTCCCAAGTTTTCATTACTGCGATTGCTTTCGGGTTCCGCCATCTCCGCTTCTACTGCTAAAACAATTAAAGGGACACAACTCTCTAACTTTCAATAGCTCATTATCAAATGAAAAAATACAGTTTTTCAAAATAAAAATGTTGGTGTTTTCAACGTTACTCTTAGAGGCCGTAGCCCAACATATTGGTATCAGTCCGACTCCACGAGCAAATCAAAGACATTCCGGGCCCGAAATCTTGAAATTTCGATTCTGAAGTTTTCATTACTGCGATTGTTTTCGGCGATATTTTTACGTGATGGTTTGCGACAAATTTTTGTACGAAAACAATTTTCATAACTTGGAAATAAATTTGGGAATAATCGAAATTTATTGCGAAATCCAGCGAAAGTCACTCAGGAAATAAATATAATTCTTTGTACGGAAAGTAAGGACCTACGTACATCAAATTGTCTTTAAATTAAGAGGCGGCAGAAGAATTATCGTTGAACTTTTAAAAGGTAAGCTTAAATATTAATGCAATACTTACATGCAACGGGCAGTTTTGAGTTCTGCTGTAGTTTATTGTTGCCTATCGCATCCGGTAGCAGTATGACTCACAAAAAGAAATCTCCGCCAATCAAATACCAGATTGCAATCAAAAGAGCCAAGTAAGAAAAAGAAAGTCTTGTGCAAATGAAAACTCAGATCAAACGGCAGCCAGGATAGCTTCCAATGTTAAGAATATGCAAAGACTTAGGCACTCTCAAAGATCTGAACAAGCCGAAGGCCCAATGAAACGATAGATCGGCTTTTAAGCTAGTACTCTGAGTCGAAAGATTAAGATGTGTGTGTGTGTGTGTGTGTGTGTGTGTGTGTGTGTGTGTGTGTGTGTGTGTGTGTTGTGCAAAAGTAAGTGAACCTCTAAGATAATACTTTAAAAATTGTATTGTCCAGGTAATCAACAAATCTTAAACTATGCATTAAGCAAAACCTTTGTTAAATGAATTGGAACCACCTTTAATTCTTTAACAAATATTAATTAAAAATCTGCATTTCTGTTTTTCATGATTGCCAGTGCAAAGCTTTTTTTTGTACACATGTGAAAATGAACTTGACATGTGTTCAATTTCTGGTAAGCTGTGTATATCTCAGTCAACCAATATAACTCAGTTTGTATGCAAAATGGTGTCGTTAGAGACTACATTTAAAAGAAAATATCTATCAAGATCGAAAGAATCTCTCGAGATTTTAAAAAATCGCATAGTTGAAGCTTTTGATGATAGAGAAGCCTACAAAAAGCTATCGATTTGAAGTGCACATCTCCACCATGCGACAAATTATCTATGAATTATATAACAATCAAGAAATGGGCGTCCGTGAAAAACAACTGCAAGAGCAAGTAGACATCTAGTTCGGCAATGACTAGACGTCTACTTGCTTTTGAGAATCCTGTTATGACATCTCCGGTTCACCAAGCCTTCCTGGCCAGTGTCGGAATCTATGTGCATACGTTTACAGTGCAACGGAATTTGAACGATGCTGGTCTTAATTAGAAAAATTCACTGCTTACAAAAAAGCACAAACAAATTAGGTTCAGCTATACCCAAACTCATAATAATAAGCTACCAAAAGGTTTTAAGACCAAACAAGAGTGTTGCGGGGGGGGGGGGAGGAACGATAGTAGGTGTTTGGCGAGTTCTTAATATGGCTTTCAAAGAGAAGAATTCGATACCAACAGTTAAACATGGCGGCAGCAGCGGTCTTATTTTAAGTGAATATTACTAAGGACTATGTGAACGTTATCCCGTGCAGCTATGGTAAGAAATCAAAAAGAGAAACAGGTCACACACTTAAGGTAGAACTGCAAAAAGATCCTAAAGCCTTAATACGAAGGGAAATAGAAAAATCAGGCGTAGCTGACCACATATGGATGGAAAAGGGAGATCACCGTACCCTGTAGGATAAGCCTAAAATAATATACAGAGAACATCACTGGAAAATACGAAAATTTAAGGAATCAGCATATATGCTAGTTCACCTAAATGCCCTAAGCCGGCTAAGCATAGAAACGAATACAATATTGAGAGAAGCAATAATAACAACAAAAATTGCAATATGAGTTTTGGTAAAAAATCGATTACTGATACAATAAGTTTATACGCTCCAAAAATTCATATAGTGATGTTCTCAAGGACATATGGCTTAGTGGATAAAATCGTTGGTTGAATTCAGTGTGCTTGATCCAAAGAGTTGTGAGTTCAAAACCTGCCTATATTGTAATGAACAAAAACTTGAATGTTTGGATTAAAGGGAGGCCGAAAGAGCCATGACAAGTGGAACTAGATCAACCTTACCCTGCTGAATGAGATAAATGGTTCTGTTCTAAATTCCAATTATCTTCGTGCATATGGCTACAAAGATGAAGACAAATGTCCGAACAATGTTGATATTTACAATAGCTCGCTTCAGAGATATAGACAGATATATGTATTACTTTAAAAGTTCTTTTAACTCTATTTGAAGCCGATAGACGAAATAAAATAATGTTTAAAAAATAAAATAAAAAAAACGGATCGTCTACACAAATATGGAATTCCACTAAAAATAACGGTTAAATTAATAAAAAAAAACGCGTCAGATTAAAAAAAAACATCCATTTTACTTTAGAAATGTCATTGTCTACGTTTTGGAATCGAAACTAAGCAGTTGGGAACTTTAGCAGATCTAAACAAGAAAGATGTGATTAAAGGCAAAATCGAACGCGTTTTGACGTCGGAGCCGAGTTGGTTAAACATCGGATCTAAAGATGGTTTCACATACAATGAAGGACGCAAGCCCGAATCCTGGAGGAGAGTGTACTATTCTTTAATAAGATATCTTGAATTTTAGTCCAGCAGAAGAAAAAAATATCCTGTTTAAAAAAGAAACAATGAGTGTTTACTCTGCAGCTAAATGTGTTGACAAAGTTTCTACCGTCAGTGGCAAACAGCTTAGTAGTATCTCCAAGTCACAAAATCTTAAATAATACACGAGGCAAGACGACAAAACAACAGTTGCCCACAGAAATTTTGTTTCGCGTTATATATCTCGAGATGTCTCGCGTGACTTTATTGTCATTACATATTTTGACTCAAGTGGTGGCCATTTTCCTTTCTGGATATTTTACGTACGAGGCTTGCGTGAACACTTTGTATCGGTAAGTCCTTTTTCTTTTAATCTTTTTCAGTTGGTGGAGAAGGGTCTTTCGTTTACACAATATACTCAAATACTGGTATCAACTAAAACTAACGTTTAAATTCATGAAAATATTTCGGTTTAATAAAATAAAAAATGAATCTATTATTTCATTAGATATATATCGTCCAAAATTATGACGCCAGCCTCAAGATTTAATAATTAGTCAGTTTCATATTTTCTTTGGTTTAATTATCTCTTAAGATTGGAGGCTTAAACTGTTTAATCCGTTAGTGCATGGTGTACAGTGTTTTAGAGAAATGGTATTTCTAAACTTTAAATTCCACCCGACCTAATGTGCCAGAAAGATAAATTAGGTAAAAAGAGATAAAATTTTAAGGATATTTTATGCAATG